ACGGAGTGGTACACCATTTTAAAAAAAAATTGAGAACCTTCTCTTAAAGTAAGGCTCACACCAATGACGTAGCTAGGCTTGGAGATTTCTTGACGTCATGAATCATTTCTAAAAATAGACATTCGTACTCTATACGCTAAAGGACCACATTATCATTTTAATGTGTGTCTAACAAGAGTCGATGATATTTCTTTAGAACGAGAATAAATGACCCGATTTTATCATGGTAATAATGGTAGGTCCTTGGCGATAATGTCTAACTGCTATTGCAAAAACTCATCCCAATTCATAACTTTTAAAACGCAATGATATTTACGTTTCTAACATCAAAAGTTTTGAGAATTGTTTATCTGCTATATATGATACGCGTACCCTACACATTTTTACGCTCCTAAACTACTTTTCCCCCTCCAAACATAACCTTAAATAATTACCCATTCTAAATTATCACTAGTTATATCGCTTTTGTCACTAAAGCCATTATTTGGATCAAAGCCATTATCTGGATCAAAGCCATTATCTGGTGAATACAATGTCAAATCATGGCATTTCTTCAGATTTTAGCATTCCATTGGATAATATTCCAGTTTCCTATTTTGTGGCAGGATGATTGAGAATCCCTAACTCAGTCGGAACAATCCTTAACGTCACACTTGGATGGTTTTATGCCCAATTTTGTACCACATGTCGTCTGAGTGGTCAGGTGTATAGGATGTAGGCCAAGGGCAAGCTGCCAACGCGAATATAAAGGCGACCCTGTGTTTTAAGCGTAGATTAACAATGGGAGACCAAGCCACACCGCTTTAAGCATAGGGTAACAATGGGAGACCGAGCCACACCGTGTGCATTGACCCCACGTCAGAGTGAAGTTACGAAAGCTGATCTCTTAACCAGTATATAAAATACAATGAACGTGTAGGCTACTTATTTTGTCAAGTTGAAAACCAAGCAGTACAGATCTGTAATATGAATGCCATGGCTACAACAATTAAATAATTTTCAAAACTATAATTTAACTAATTTTAGATCAAGTTATCGCTTTTATATTAAACTAGAATCTTCTCACAGCTGTGTTGTTTGTCTTTCGTGTCTCACAGCTGTTGGTCCTTCGCGTCTCATAGCTGTTGGTCATATATCTCTCACAGCTGTTGGTCATATATCTCTCACAGCTGTTGGTCATATATCTCTCACAGCTGTTGGTCATATATCTCTCACAGCTGTTGGTCATATATCTCTCACAGCTGTTGGTCATATATCTCTCAAAGCTGTTGGTCATATATCTCTCACAGCTGTTGGTCATATATATCTCAAAGCTGTTGGTCATATATCTCTCACAGCTGTTGGTCATATATCTCTCACAGCTGTTGGTCCTTCGTGTGTGTGTGTAATAGTTGACATAGTCAGAAACAGGGGCAATTTCTTTATGACATATACACATGCACACACACACAGTTGGGGGGGGGGAAGGAGGGGTGCTAGCTGTTAAGAAAGGGAGAGGTTGCTGGTGGTATAACTACGCTGCCCCATATGCAAGCAAAGGTCTTTTGAAAAGATGTATCACAGCTGTTGGTCATATATCTCTCACAGCTGTTGGTCCTTCGTGTGTGTGTGTAATAGTTGACATTGTCAGAAACAGGGGCAATTTCTTTATGACATATACACATGCACACACACACAGTTGGGGGGGGGGGAAGGAGGGGTGCTAGCTGTTAAGAAAGGGAGAGGTTGCTGGTGGTATAACTACGCTGCCCCATATGCAAGCAAAGGTCTTTTGAAAAGATGTGGGGTGCTTTCCTATGCAAGCAAACAACTCTTAGAATGAAATATTCTGGTTGGGAAAATGGAGATCTCTTGTATAAATCCGTGAATAGCATCAGAGAAATTCGGTTGGAACTGGTCCCATTTTTCCCTAGCTGACTATGAAACTTAGCAGAGAGAACTACTTTATTGAGATATTTATTTGCCATTTTAGCATTGGGAACTACTTTAATGAGATTTGTATTTGTCATCTTAAAAGTGGGAACTACTTTACTGAGATTTGTATTTGTCAGCTTAGCAGTGGGAACTACTTTAATGATAAAATCATATGATATTTCGTACTATTAATTATCGGCATAATAACGAAAACTGCAAACTGAATTACGAAACTTGTATACAAGTTCAAATTATATTGATATTATTACTTTTTAACAGATTCTTTTATCAAATTGAAATATTAAAGAAGTAGATTTTGCTTCCTTAATAGCAGACATAAATATAAGTTAAATATACCCGCCCCCCCACTTTGTTCCCTCAACCTAACTTGCACTTTAAACAATAGCAATAAATTAATATATTCATATTTGTAAATCAAAGTCTTATGTTCAAAAGAGTCTCCGAGCTGTGGGCTATTGGAGGTCTTCTGTTCACCCAACTGTATCATGAATCAATGAAAATGTTTGAGCCAATGACCAGAGACAGTCGACATGTCTCGAGTTACGGCAACTACTGCAGTGATAAGAGTGACGACATGCACTCATACCACGTGTTACGCCAACTACTGCAGTGATAAGTGTGACGACATGCACTCATACCTCGTGTTACACTAACTACAGCAGTCATAAGTGTGACGACATGTACTCATACCGCGTGCTACGCCAACTACTGCACTGATAAGTGTGACGACATGTACTCATACCGCGTGCTACGCCAACTACTGCACTGATAAGTGTGACGACATGTACTCATACCTCGTGTTACGCCAAGAAATTAAATACTTTTGATGTTCTTTTTATTTAGTTTTTTCCAAAACGCTTAGCAATATAAAAACAGAGGGTTGCACGGAATTTTATAAAAATTCAAACCATTAGAATTGTTTGTTTATTTAATTCGCATATCACTCACACAACTTGTGATCATTCTATGACTGAGGGCAAAGTTGGAAACACACGTCAATGTAAGTATGAGTGGGCTCTACCAGTGCACAGTGATCCCCAAACAGTGGATACGTTTGTACAGTAGGAGAAGAAGCGGATAGTCTACACGTTAGAGTTCTTAGAGGATCATTTTCCACATCACGCTACTATACAACATTACGCTACAATATACAGCATCACGCTACTATACAACATCACGCTACTATACAACATCACGCTACTATACGACATCACGATACAATATACAGCATCACGCTACTATACGACATCACGCTACAATATACAGCATCACGCTACTATACGACATCACGATACAATATACAGCATCACGCTACTATACGACATCACGATACAATATACAGCATCACGCTACTATACGACATCACGCTACAATATACAGCATCACGCTACTATACAACATCACGCTAATATACAGCACCACGCTAATATACGACATCACGCTACTATACAGCATCACGCTACTATACGACATCACGATACAATATACAGCATCACGCTACTATTCAACATCACGCTACTATACAGCACCACGCTAATATACGACATCACGCTACAATACAGCATCACGCTACTATTCAACATCACGCTGCTATACAACATCACGCTACTATATAACATCACGCTACAATATACAGCATCACGCTACTATTCAACATCACGCTACTATACAGCACCACGCTAATATACGACATCACGCTACAATACAGCATCACGCTACTATTTAACATCACGCTGCTATACAGCACCACGCTAATATACAACATCAAGCTACAATACAGCATCACGCTACTATATAACATCACGCTACTATATAGAAATCACACTACTATACAATATCACGCTACCATATAACATCACGCTACTATACAACATCACGCTACTATGCAACATCACGCTACTATACAACATCACGCTACTATACAACATCACGCTACTATACAACATCACGCTACTATACAACATCACGCTACAATAAAAAATCACGCTACTATACAACATCACGCTACAATAAAAAATCACGCTACTATACAACATCACGCTACTATACAGCCTCATGTTATTGTACCACATACAGCATACAACATACAGCATTCAAATCTTGTGCGGCACATGTGGATTTTTCTAGACTTGAGTCTAGACTCTAAATAGTTCCCGTTTGTTAGACTTTCTAGACATTAACTGCCAAGCTATATGCTATTACTTAAAAATAATTCGCTTTAGATTTCGGCTACATTTATTTTTTATTATTTTATTTAGGCATTTTATCTAGCGCTTACCTTAAAGCTCTAAGCGCTTCACAATCATTAACAACATGTACATTATTTAAATTGCTAAAGTACAATAAAAATGAAAAACCAGAGACACTAGAATTGTAACAACTATGTTAAAAATGACTATAGAAACAGTAGCTTAAACATTAAAATGGCTATATACTTTGGCACGTTTGGCCTATACTACATGATCAACCCGTGGCAGAAAATAAGGCAGGGCGAAGAGGGTGCATCACAAGTCATTTCATAGGCGGACCTAAACAGATTTAAAAACATTTCTGTTTAATTGAATGCTTGCCAGCAACGGAATGTCTATTTGATTGAATGAAGGCCAGTTGTGAAATGTCTGTTTAATAAATGGTTGCCAGCATTGAAATGTCTATTTGAATTAGTGATTGCAAGCATTGAAATGTCTATTCGTCTGAATGGTTGCCAGCATTGAAATTAATAGAAAAGTTTATACAATTTTGAGAACCTCTATACAGACTAGTGACGTCAATCGGGTTGGGGGGGGGGGGGACCCAAATCCAGACCCCTTCCCCCCCCCCACCCGCCACCCGATTTTCTCACAGTTTTCCCCACCCACAAAGATCCACGGAAGACCGGCCAAAACCGCTTTTTCCGATTACCGTGGACAGGAGACCTGGACCTGTTCCAGTTTGTTTACGAAGTGTGTCCTACTTTTGTCCTACTCAATTCTATTCCCGTGTGTTGTAGAAACGTCGTCGTCCTGGGTAGGTGCGGGGCAGGGAAATGGGGGGTTGGGGTGGGCTAGATTCGATACGCTGGTGCACAGGTATATAATGTCCCAAGTATTGCGTCCGAAATTTAGTGGCTTTTCAACCAGTGGCTTTCTGAACACGTGATAACTTGAATATCAGTTGTTCAAGTGTCGACATTTATTCCTTCATTTGCTGTAAAAACTTAACAACTTCCTTTCTTGATATCCTAGAATTTGTGTGCGAGGATTAAACGCCAAGAGTTTGCATTGCTTGAGGAAGATACTTCTATATTTAAGAGAAGGTCCAGAATTTAGCGCCGACAGATTTCCATAATTTATTGCCGAAAGAGTTAAAATAATCTATTGCCGAAACAGTTCCAGAGTTTACTGCCAAAAGAGTTCCAGAGTTTGTTACAGCAAGTGTTCCACTGTGGTCGCTACAATGGTCAAGGACACAGACAACTGCTGCAGCGATCTGTGTGACGACTTCTGCCCCGACTGTGGGAGAAAGGATGGCGTCAAACGACACTTTGGGAGCATCCGCAACAAACTCAAAGGTAATTACAGAGCTCTGTTAGTCTGAAACATGATTGAATGCTTGGTCTTTCCGTCTGTCATTGACTTACATTCTGATCCACTAAATGTTATTAAGAATAGGCGTCTGTTATGACTACGTCTTTCCTGACTGCTTCTGTCACGACTGCGTCTGTTATGACTGCGTATGTTATGATTGCGTCTGTTATTACTGCGTCTGTCATGATTGCGTCTGTTATTACTGCATCTGTTACGTCTAACTGACCGGACCTGTCTCTCCAACATATTAAGATGATTTACACACATTAAAAAAAAGATTTACTGCATTTCTCATTGAACATACTGACACGTTCAAGACGGTGTGTCACCCAAAGTGAGCCCTACTGACATGTTCAAGACGGTGTGTCACCCAAAATGAGCCCTACTGACATGTTCAAGACGGTGTGTCACCCAAAGTGAGCCCTACTGACATATTCAAGATGGTGTGTCACCCAAAGTGAGCCCTACTGACATGTTCAAGACGGTGTGTCACCCAAAGTGAGCCTACTGACATGTTAAAGACGGTGTGTCACCCAAAGTGCGCCCTACTGACATGTCCACGACGGTGTGCCCCCCCACGTGCCCCCTACTGACACATGTGCATGACGGTGTGTCACCCAAATTGAGCCCTACTGACATATTCAAGATGGTGTGTCACCCAAAGTGAGCCCTCCTGACATGTTCAAGACGGTGTGTCACCCAAAGTGAGCCTACTGACATGTTAAAGACGGTGTGTCACCCAAAGTGAGCCCTACTGACATGTCCAAGACGGTGTGCCACCCAAAGTGAGCCCTACTGACATGTCCAAGACGGTGTGCCACCCAAAGTGAGCCCTACTGACATGTCCAAGACGGTGTGTCACCCAAAGTGAGCCCTACTGACATGTCCAAGACGGTGTGTCACCCAAAGTGACGCATCAGTTTGACCAGTGGCGCATGGCAGGGTTGGTGCCACCCGGGATGGGGTCAAGCTTTTTACGGCACCCATCCATTCCACGAAAATAAACTGTGCGGTTGGTTCCAAGTGCCGCCCCTGAATATTAGGAAAAAAAGGGGGGGGGATATATGCCAACCCTGGTGGCCCGCCACCTCCGCATCACCTTCCTACGCCAATGTTTTATTGGTGTGGTGCAACATTTTAATACAATGAAATGAGAACGATCCAAAATAAAAGAAAAGAGAGGCGTGGGGCGGCCGGGGAGGGGGGGGGGGGGGAGGGTATGAGGGTAGCATGGACCAAANCGCATCACCTTCCTACGCCAATGTTTTATTGGTGTGGTGCAACATTTTAATACAATGAAATGAGAACGATCCAAAATAAAAGAAAAGAGAGGCGTGGGGCGGCCGGGGAGGGGGGGGGGTGAGGGTATGAGGGTATCATGGACCAAACTACGCTATCTCCATCAGAAGTTCTAACAAGTGGCATGGAGGCAGTTTTGGAAAAGCAACGTCCAACCTATTTATTTATTTAATATTCCATGGTCTGAGTTAGTCATTGGTGTTGTTTTTTTTTAGTGTGTGGTAAACTAAGAAGGCTGCGACTATTCGTATCCGGGTACCAGAAGTGAGAGGTTGGGATTAAAAAAAAACGATTTAAAATATTTTTGCTGGGTTTGTAAGACAAAATGAGGCATCAAATGAGGGATAATTGAATGGAGTCAATGGTACCCGGGTGCGAATAGCGGCGCTGCGTGTCTGGGTCCATTTTGACTCAGTGCTATTCGGGAGTCATTTGTGGTAGTTTATTTAAATTAAACTGAAGAATTAAGTTTACAAACATATAGTTCATTCAATTATCTTTCCTTTGATACCTCATTTTGTCTTAAAAACATAAAAATAGTATTTTAAATCGTTTTTTAATCCCAACGTCTGACTTCTGGTACCCGGGTACGAATAGCCACTTCGAACTAAGAAAGGTTTGAAAACCGATGACCTAGAAATCTTTTATTCTAGTTTGGGAAATCCATCCGACATTTTTACATATAACACCCAATAGACCCCGACGTGACCAGAACTGAGTGTGCGTCATCACAAAAACCAGATGTCACGCGCCGCTGAACCGAAAACTAATTTTGAAAAACTTTCTCTTTGTACTCTGTGATTTCCCGGTGAAACTAGGACTTGATGACGTCAATCAGACTTGAAAGCCATAATGTATCATCTGTTTATGTTAATCTACTCCATTTGTGGAGACTGCAGGTGCGGCTTGGCATTACAAGGGCGATGTCGTCCTAGAACCGGGTTGTTGTTTCTTATTAGCATATACGTTAGGGGTCGGCTCTCTTTTTCTATTATGTACGGGAAGAATGACATTTGGGTCTGTCTACCACGGTAATATGTGAAGAATGACATTTGGGTCTGTCTACCACGGTAATATGTGAAGAATGACATTTGGGTCTGTCTACCACGGTAATATGTGAAGAATGACATTTGGGTCTGTCTACCACGGTAATATGTGAAGAATGACATTTGGGTCTGTCTACCACGGTAATATGTGAAGAATGACATTTGGGTCTGTCTACCACGGTAATATGTGAAGAATGACATTTGGGTCTGTCTACCACGGTAATATGTGAAGAATGACATTTGGGTCTGTCTACCACGGTAATATGTGAAGAATGACATTTGGGTCTGTCTACCACGGTAATATGTGAAGAATGACATTTGGGTCTGTCTACCACGGTAATATGTGAAGAATGACATTTGGGTCTGTCTACACGGTAATATGTGAAGAATGACACTTGGGTCTGTCTACACGGTAATATGTGAAGAATGACACTTGGGTCTGTCTACCACGGTAATATGTGAAGAATTACATTTGGGTCTGTCTACACGGTAATATGTGAAGAATGACATTTGGGCCTGTTTACCACGGTAATATGTGAAGAATGAAATTTGGGCCTGTCTACCACGGTAATATGTGAAGAATGAAATTTGGGCCTGTCTACCGCGTCAGCATGTGACCATTACTAATGATGCTGTTATGTGGTCTCTGTGACCGTGAAAATGTCTTTAATTAAGTTCTGTTTGCCCGTGTATCGGCTGTTTAAAGTAGGTCAGCTAGTTCCTGGCAGATCAACTAAGTTTTGAAGGTGATTTGCAATAATTATAATTTAAGTTTATTTCAGCAGAGACGAGAATGTATGGACATACAAGTTGTACTTGTAAATCATTGACCAAAGTGGCTTTTAAATGTTGCGTTGTGGTCAGAAGATATTCTCAAACGAAATTTCTTCCGTTTTCCATAACATTGCGATAGATGGGCTGTACATAACATTGCATGAGATGGGATGTACGCTACATTGCGAGAGATGGGCCGTACATAACATTGCGAGAGATGGGCTGTACATAACATTGCATGAGATGGGATGTACGCTACATTGCGAGAGATAGGCTGTACATAACATTGCATGAGATGGGATGTACGCTACATTGCGAGAGATAGGCTGTACATAACATTGCATGAGATGGGATGTACATAACATTGCATGAGATGGGATGTACGCTACATTGCGAGAGATGGGCTGTACATAACATTGCATGAGATGGGATGTACGCTACATTGCGAGAGATGGGATGTACATAACATTGCGAGAGATGGGCTGTACATAACATTGCATGAGATGGGATGTACGCTACATTGCGAGAGATAGGCTGTACATAACATTGCATGAGATGGGATGTACGCTACATTGCGAGAGATAGGCTGTACATAACATTGCATGAGATGGGATGTACGCTACATTGCGAGAGATGGGCTGTACATAACATTGCATGAGATGGGATGTACGCTACATTGCGAGAGATGGGCTGTACATAACATTGCATGAGATGGGATGTACGCTACATTGCGAGAGATGGGCTGTACATAACATTGCATGAGATGGGATGTACGCTACATTGCGAGAGATGGGCTGTACATAACATTGCATGAGATGGGATGTACGCTACATTGCGAGAGATGGGCTGTACATAACATTGCATGAGATGGGATGTACGCTACATTGCGAGAGATGGGCTGTACATAACATTGCATGAGATGGGATGTACGCTACATTGCGAGAGATGGGCTGTACATAACATTGCATGAGATGGGATGTACGCTACATTGCGAGAGATGGGCTGTACATAACATTGCATGAGATGGGATGTACGCTACATTGCGAGAGATGGGCTGTACATAACATTGCATGAGATGGGATGTACGCTACATTGCGAGAGATGGGCTGTACATAACATTGCATGAGATGGGATGTACGCTACATTGCGAGAGATGGGCTGTACATAACATTGCATGAGATGGGATGTACGCTACATTGCGAGAGATGGGCTGTACATAACATTGCATGAGATGGGATGTACGCTACATTGCGAGAGATGGGCTGTACATAACATTGCATGAGATGGGATGTACGCTACATTGCGAGAGATGGGCTGTACATAACATTGCATGAGATGGGATGTACGCTACATTGCGAGAGATGGGCTGTACATAACATTGCATGAGATGGGATGTACGCTACATTGCGAGAGATGGGCTGTACATAACATTGCATGAGATGGGATGTACGCTACATTGCGAGAGATGGGCTGTACATAACATTGCATGAGATGGGATGTACGCTACATTGCGAGAGATAGGCTGTACATAACATTGCATGAGATGGGATGTACGCTACATTGCGAGAGATAGGCTGTACATAACATTGCATGAGATGGGATGTACGCTACATTGCGAGAGATGGGCTGTACATAACATTGCATGAGATGGGATGTACGCTACATTGCGAGAGATGGGCTGTACATAACATTGCATGAGATGGGATGTACGCTACATTGCGAGAGATAGGCTGTACATAACATTGCATGAGATGGGATGTACGCTACATTGCGAGAGATGGGCTGTACATAACATTGCATGAGATGGGATGTACGCTACATTGCGAGAGATGGGCTGTACATAACATTGCATGAAATGGGATGTACGCTACATTGCGAGAGATGGGCTGTACATAACATTGCATGAGATGGGATGTACGATACATTGCGAGAGATAGGCTGTACATAACATTGCATGAGATGGGATGTACGCTACATTGCGAGAGATAGGCTGTACATAACATTGCATGAGATGGGATGTACGCTACATTGCGAGAGATAGGCTGTACATAGCATTGCATGAGATGGGATGTACGCTACATTGCGAGAGATGGGCTGTACATAACATTGCGAGAGATGGGCTGTACATAACATTGCATGAGATGGGATGTACGCTACATTGCGAGAGATAGGCTGTACATAACATTGCATGAGATGGGATGTACGCTACATTGCGAGAGATAGGCTGTACATAACATTGCATGAGATGGGATGTACGCTACATTGCGAGAGATGGGCTGTACATAACATTGCATGAGATGGGATGTACGCTACATTGCGAGAGATAGGCTGTACATAACATTGCATGAGATGGGATGTACGCTACATTGCGAGAGATGGGCCGTACATAACATTGCGAGAGATGGGATGTACATAACATTGCGAGAGATAGGCTGTACATAACATTGCATGAGATGGGATGTACGCTACATTGCGAGAGATGGGCCGTACATAACATTGCGAGAGATGGGATGTACATAACATTGCGAGAGATAGGCTGTACATAACATTGCATGAGATGGGATGTACGCTACATTGCGAGAGATGGGCCGTACATAACATTGCGAGAGATGGGATGTACATAACATTGCGAGAGATAGGCTGTACATAACATTGCATGAGATGGGATGTACGCTACATTGCGAGAGATGGGCCGTACATAACATTGCGAGAGATGGGATGTACATAACATTGCGAGAGATAGGCTGTACAGAACAGTGCGGGAGAAATGTTACTTTTACAAGAAAGTTAATTTTACAGCAATCCAGTTTTTGTTCTAACTTAACCCCTTGAGCTGATGAGTGATACACGATCGTTTTTCATTCAATTTAGTTTAAACTCTTTTAATGCGTGAGCACCTATTGACTTTCTCTTATTGCGTTACAAATAGACAATAGAGTACTGTAATTAAGTCATTTTTAATGTCATTGAAAGGATACGTCACCATATTGATATTGTAGAAGCTGCAGTTAAATTACGTAATTCGCTAACATTATTCAAATGATACATTTGATGAAAATCTTTATTTTTTATAAAGTTTCCAAGCTGACTCTCGTACACACGTTGACATATGACACACATGACACGTGTGGACACATGAAAAACACACAAGGACACATAACATGTTTGCGCACACATTGCACAGACAATGACATTATAAAATTAAATTTATTAAGACAAATTATCATTCGTATGGTCCTCCAGGTTTCAAGACAAGAATCCAGAGTTTCCGACACGTCTCGGGTCACACAAGTTTGAATTTACTTGAGGACCATGGAAGCTGTGATTTTGATGAGATGAACAATGTTACCGGTAGGTTTATTAGTAAAGTATTTTGAAATAGCAGAATTTGACAATTCATTGTTTTAGATTTGGACTCCTGGTCCTAGTGGATTTCCATTTTTATTCTTCTATTAGTTTCATAAATGGCATTCTAAAGGTCATTATTAAAAAAAAATATATGAATTATATTTGCACAAAGGAACCAGCTACAGAGTCTCACAGACGGATGAGTTTTTAGGAGCGTCGACCCAGACAGCCCCCCAGTCAGCAAAACTTGTACCCTGCAGAGCCCAAGAAACATCACAGTCTCACCTGAGCCGAAAGAAGCGAGTTTGGGAAGGACTTAGTGATACAGTAGACAAGGAAGACCACTCTCTCGAATTCCCCGAAACTCTCACAGACTGCGCGTCCAGCGAAACCCCCAACACTCTCCACCCCTCAGAAAGAGTCGCATCCTTGTGGGACGATGTTTTTGACAATGACGTCAGCGGCGTTGGCCAGGAAGAGAGCGGCGGTCTTTTCTGTAACTTGCCAGATAGGCTGAGTGTGGGCCAGGTGTTTGAGAGGTTGCGCAAGCTGTCGCTGGACGAAACCTTGAGAGTCGGTCTGAACAAGGAGAACAAGAAGGAAAATGGAAACAGCGGTGTTGAAACGGGTCGAATATCCGACTTATGGGACAACGCAAATATACAAGCCATGTTGTCCTTGTGTGGTCATGGTAGCGAGGCAAGAGAAGAACTACATAGAGTTGAATGATATGATACAAAACACGACGCCAGCTGATGTTGGACACTTGGAGAGCTAAGTCTTTCGTTGAATTCTGAAGCGCTTATACATATGGACGTGCTGGACATTTTTATATGAAGATGGCGCCTCCTGACAAATGAAGGGTCCGTTAATTGTTGAATATTTTAAGACCTGCCTCTGTTAATATCTTTTATTAGGTAGACTCTTATTGTGATACTACTTTCCGTGACATATTTCTACTTTGAAAAGAGATTTTTGCATTTGATGAAGTCTAGTCTCATGTTTTGAACAACACTCCTAGACTATAGCAGACGTATTTTGTGTTTTAGATGACAATCTTCGACGACTTATTTAATGTTAGCTTCTTTGTTTGCTCACATTTTATGATTTTTTCGTTTGCATTTAAGTTTCTTTTATTATAAATCTATGTTTGCTATTGTTGTATATACTAGATTTAATTCCATAAAAATGTGTAAATGAATTTACAAATGGATATTACATATTTTAAAAAAAAAATACTTTGAAGCGTATTTTTATGTAACGTTCCTGGGTTTATGTATTTAATTGAACTGTGAGATCGATAAGATTTGTGTGATTTTTATATCTCTTTGTTCACACAGTTTAACCACATGCATATTTGTTTTTTTTTAACTTTGTCATTGTTGTGTTTGACAATACACTCAAAATAAAGTTATTAAAATTGCTAACTGACCTCCAAATTGTTTGTCTGAATTCCTTCATCGCAGATACTTAAGACGGGCCCGTTCGAGACGAATGTTTCTCTCAGGACGAGGACTGAAAGATATACAAATTGTTACGTTCCCCAATCTGTACGCATTTACCAGCGTGCTCCCCCCTGAAGTCACATACCTTACTGAGAGCTAACAAGTCCCTAAGATAATTCACTGAATGGCTGTTTTTTTTCACTAGCGAAATAATTTAATGTAGATGTCTTGTGTTCAAATTGTTTTATTTATGTGCTGAAAATGTACAATGCAATTTAAAAAAAAAATATAATTTCCATTTGTTCGTATCAATAAAAGAATCATATCTTCTGTTATCTTATCTTTTGCTCATCACATTAAGGAAATGTAGCTGGAGTGCATCAAATCACCTTTGCCAGCTCTCATTAGATTTTAATCTTTCTAAATAAAATATAGTGACTAAAAGAGAATAAAGGAAGATTTATTTTGTACATTTAAGGCTGAGACTTACTCAAACGCCTAAAAACAGAAGTTTTTCGTAAAAATCCCATATTGTATTTTAAATGTATTTTATATTATTTTATTTCATAATAAAATTTAAATGCCCCACCGCTTTTATATCACATCATTATTTCACCAACTATATCAGAAAGTCAAAAGAAAACATTACCCACCAAACACACTTGCGATATTTTTGTTCAAGAATCTCATTCAGCGCAGTTATCGGGAATTTAATTTTTTGAACATAGTGATATATTTCCTTCCTGGTCACCATGAAAAAAACAGGAGAAACTGACTTTTGGAGCTGGGTCTGAAATTTTGATAGAATGTGTTGTCATTGGCAACGAGCCTATGTGCCAAGTTTCAGCTCGATGTGTGGACGGGAAGTGGGACAATTAGGCGTCCGAAGATTTTGCTGACAGATATAAATACACAAGGCGAAGTTAATATAAATGATTTAAAAAAGGCTAATAAATGAAGATTGCGTCCAAGATGTGTGAAGGACAAAGGAGACAAGGTATGTGGTAGCTTGATATAGAAGAACAGGACAATAAAAGATGAATGTTTCGGCTAAAAGCCTTCCTCGGCAGACAGGACAATAAAAGAAAAGCGTTTCGGCTAAAAGCCTTCCTCGGCAGACAGGACAATGAAAAAAGAACGTTTCGGCTAAAAGCCTTCCTCGGCAGTCAGGACAATGAAAGATGAACGTTTTGGCTAAAAGCCTTCCTCGGCAGACAGGAAAATAAAAGACAAATGTTTCGGCTAAAAGCCTTCCTCGCAGACAGGACAAATGAAAAAAACAAAAACAACGAGAAATAAAAAAATAATTGGTAGTTTTAAAAAATGAAGTATTCGTCATTAATGTTATTTCTGGAAGTTTTTTTTTTTTTCAAAACCAAGTTTAGAGGAAGTAACCACCAAGAGGGAAAATAAGTCGTTGTAAATGGGTAATAAAAAAATTCCAAAAATATTAAGATATCTGATTGTTATTAAATATGACCTTATATTTTTACAATGAGACAATTTGTTGGTGTCTAATTAATCTAAGATATCTGAAAGGAGTCACAAGAATGTCACCAGTTGTAGGCCTATCTTTTTATGAAATCTTCATTAAACACGTTCTCCCTTTGGAATTGAGTGTCTCCTAGTATTCGGTTGAATATTATTCAGTAAATATAATTTGTAACATACAACTATGATGGACATGTAAATTACGACAACAGAAGAACTGCAATTAATTATAGGAATTTTTCTCGTAAAGAGAGACTCAGTTAAGGTAAGCTGTCAATTTTAAAGTGGATTACCGATTTTTTTTTACCGCTTTTTCAAAAAAAAAAAAAAAAAAAAAAAAAAAAAAAAGAGAGACTCAGTTAAGGTAAGCTGTCAATTTTAAAGTGGATTACCGATTTTTTTTTACCGCTTTTTCAAAAAAAAAAAAAAAAAAAAAAAAAAAACTAAAGGTTATATTTCATAATATAAAAAAAAAAAAAAAAAAAAAAAAAAAAAAACTAAAGGGATATTTTCTAGTGGTAAAGAGTAAACCTAATTCCTAAGTAGGTCATCACTATGCACCAGGGCGTATACGGCTTGCGATCTGGGTCATGTCAATAATTAAACATATACAAAGTCCTCCTGCTGTTGAAGTAAAAAATAGACGAATTCTGGGTGAAACAAGTTCTCTCTGTTTGAGATCTATACACACCTATATGATGTCGATAGCAGAATGGAGGCACATTTCCCCCAGGCTAATACCAACTACGAACCGTTTTTTATTGACCATGTCATCACGGTCTGATAACCTCATGGAAACGGTGACCTCATTCGCCTGGCCCGTTGTTTGCTGGTCCTAGGGGTGACGCCCCATTAACCAATCATTATTTGAGGGATACCCCGAGTAGCGATGTCAAAATGAGCCATCGCGACCCCATAAAGGGGTCACCCCCACCAAAGCCGCGCATCAGTGGAGGAGATTGGGGGCTTCAAAAACATCACGGCATTGAAGACGTCCGTGATTTCTTTCTTTAAATAGTTTCCAGGTAGGACACATTTCAGATTGAAATCTTTGTGTTAAGATGAGCAAGTCATCTCACTGCTCCTTGTACAAGGCTTCATTGCTTCCCCAATAGTATATAAACATATATATATATAATATATATATATATAAATATTCGTATATAAAGCCTTAAATTCAAGATTCATCACTTTACGAGTTTTAAAGAAGAATTCTGACTTCAGCAACACCAAGTTTGACCCACACTGCCTCGCAACAATACCAATTGGCTACCTACACTGCCTCTATGCAATACTAAATGGCTACCTACATTGACCTTCAGCAACACGAACTGGCTAGCTGCATTGCCTCACAGCAACACTAACTGGCTACCTGCTTTGCCTCACAGTAACACTAACTGGCTACCTGCATTGCCTCACAGCAACACAAACTGGCTACCTGCATTGCCTCACAGCAATACTAACTTGCTACCTGCATTGCCTCACTGCAACACTAACTGGCTACCTACATTGCCTCACAGTAAAACTAACTGGCTACCTGCATTGCCTCACAGCAACACTAACTGGCTACCTACCTACATTGCCTAACAGCAACACTAACTGGCTACCTACCTTGCCTCACAGCAACACAAACTTGCTACATATATTGCCTCACAGCAAAACTAAATGGTTACCTACATTGCCTAACAGCAACACTAACTGGCTACCTATCCTTGCCCTGACAGCAACACTAACTGGCTACCTACCTTGCCTCACAGCAACACTAACTGGCTACCTACCTTGCCTCACAGCAACACTAACTGGCTACCTACACTACCCCCTCAGCAACACTAACTGGCTACCTACACTGCCCCCGCAGCAACACTAACTGTCTACCTACACTGCCCCCTAAGCAACACTAACTACCTACCTAAACACCCCTCTCAGCAACACTGACTGGCTACCTACACTGCCTCTCGGATTACAATGCTGCGAAGTTGGTTAGAAAAATCTTCTCCAAGTTCCACTCTACAATGTTAAGAAAACCTCCGACTACCAAATGAAACAGGGATCACGACTCCTTTTTTTCATGTCCACGACTCCATTATGTCATGGGTGGTTTAGCTTTGTTTTGTCTCCACGACTCCATTATGTTATGGGTGGTTTAGCTTTGTTTTGTCTCCACGACTCCATTATGTCATGGGTGGTTTAGCTTTGTTTTGTCTCCACGACTCCATTATGTCATGTGTGGTTTAGCTTTGTTTTGTCTCCACGACTCCATTATGTCATGTTTGGTTTAGCTTTGTTTTGTCTTTGAACATTATGATATTTCAAATCGCTTAAAAAAAAACAATCAATAATATAAACTAAGATTGATTGCCTGTCAGAGATGTTTCTTATATTTCTATACTTGTGACGTAAACATATAATACAAACAATGAGTTTAACATTAAAATAAAAAAAATCATATAAATAATCATGCAACGAAAAATAAATAGAAACGCTTTAAAAAAGTACCAAAAGCCATTTTATAATGCGATGGAGTACTCTGTTAGTGCTCTGTTAGTACACTGTTAGTGCACTTTTAGTACGCTCAGCTGCTCTCCATCGGGTTAAGGCCATCAATATGAATTTCCCATCTTCATCTGATGTTTACATCTTCTAAATCAGGATTCTCAAACTTTTTTCCAGCTACTGTCTCCGTGGATCATATACTTACCCTGAACGCCAACCCCCTTCCTTCCCCTCAGCCGAAACCCTGCCATATTCCATTACAGGCATTCTCAGAAGAGATCGTTTGCAAGAGCCTCTATGGTAGATGATGACACAACTGCAAGAGCCTCTATGGTAGATGATGACACAACAAATTGTTGAAATGTTAATCATAATAGAAAATATTAAACTTTATTCTTTGATTAATTTGAGAAAAATAGAACTAATTTAATCAAAGATGCTATTTATAGCAATGTTATAGGTCTCAAACGTCATCACGGCTCAGTTATTGTTATTGGCTGAGTAAAGTTTCCCAAAACCAGGCTCTATGTGTGTTATAAGAAAACTCTCTGTCTTTTGTTCATATTTCTGTGCTATTTCTTTGCTTGATGGCCGCAATAAAACCAACATTCCACCAGAGACAATGTTGAGAAAGCAACAAGGGTTTTCTCAACCACATTCCTCGCAGATTATGATTAAGTATTTCTGTATCTCTAAGACTGTTCTATATAGCACTTCCAAACGGTCACAAAAGTATTATCAACTAAAGATCTGGCATGTCCCCCTTCTCCCATAGCTAAAGAAAGCTAGAAAATTGGTATAGCTTGAGATTTGAATAGAGTTTAGTTTTAAGAAGACTGATCTCATACACTTGCCATAGAAAAATCGTGTTTTAATAAATTTAGGAAAAAAACAACATTCTGACAAACAAGCAAACTTGGTCTCAAACATCTAGAAAAGCTCTTGTGTCAAGTTTTAGAATTAACCAGAACGATCTGCATCCCTCTCAAGTGTCAGAATTAAGTAAGAATATCTGCATCCTTCTTATCACAGTGCAACAAAAAAATGTCACTCACTGAGAGTCTGTGCTGGAATTTAATTCACTGGATAATGAATAATAAAGTCTTATTTTAAAGTTTTGTCAGTTCATATCGTCTTGCTAAGTAAAATGTTTTGTTGTCAATCACCGCTGGTAGGACGTTGTATCAGAGGTCAATCACCGCTGGTAGGATATTGTATCAGAGGTCAATCACCACTGGTAGGACGTTGTGTCAGAGGTCAATCACCACTGGTAGGACGTTGTATCAGAGTTCAATCACCTCTGGTAGGACGCTGTATCAGAGGTCAATAACCGCTGGTAGGATATTGTATCAGAG